AGCTACTCGGGAGGCTGAGGCAGTAGGATTGCTTGAGCCCAGGAGTTTGAGGTTGCTGTGAGCTAGGCTGACGCCACGGCACTCACTCTAGCCCAGGCAACAAAGTGAGACTCTGTCTCAAAAAAAAAAAAAAGGAAACAGATCTGATGATGCCTTGTGCTGCTTAAAATCTTTGGTACATTTTGATCTCTTGATCAGGAGCACCATATAAACATTAAAAATCATGTTTTTCAAGATCTCTAAGATTTGAGACAAAGCTATGTTGTAGGTGGAAAAACTGGTTAAAAATTTTTGGAGAAATCATATTCGTAAATTAATCAGAAACAAAACAGTAGTTATCAGAACAATAGTTTTTAAAAACCAAAAATAGCCTGGACAAGGTGGCTCATGCCTGTAATGTTAGCACTCTGGGAGGCCAAGGTGGGAGGATCGCTTGAGCTCAGGAGTTCCAGAACAGCCTGAGCAAGAGCAAGACTCTGTCTCTACTAAAAATAGAAAAATTAGCTGCACGTGGTGGAGCGGACCTGTAGTCCCAGCTACTCAGGAGGCTGAGGCAGGAGGATCGCTTGAGCCCAAGAGTTTGAGGTCACAGTGAGCTATGATGACACCACTGCACTCTACGCAGGGCAACAGAATGAGACTCTGTCTCAAAAAAAAAAAAAGTGTAAAAGTTTTGGGGAGAAAAATCATGTAAGAACAAAATTACATTTGTATTAGACTTCTCATTAGCAAATCTGGTTGAACAAAGATGGATTGATGCCTTCAAAGTTTTGAAGACAAATTCCTGCCTATTTGAATTTACACTCTTCAAACTCATGAAGCAAATAGATGATACATTTTTTGAGCTATCCCTTGTCAAATGAACATTTCCCAGTTGCTCTCTGAAACTCAGGAACCAAACTGATTTAGCTAACAGAATGTCCATTGCTAACCAAACTCTCATTGGCTAAATCCAGGAAATAAATGGATTTGGATTTTCAGAGATATTTGCTTTTCCAATCTATAATTCTATGACCAAACTGTCTTCATGTATGAAGTTAAAAACATTTGCAGACATACAAGACCTCAAACTTTACTCTCCATGTCACCCTTTTCAAAGGCGAATATACTTCACAAAAATTAAGAAAGTCAATCAAAGAAGACAAGGAATAACCAGAAATTAGGGCACCAACTCAGCATTCTAGCAAGATCACAGCTTTGCAGCACAACCACAGAGTATTCAATCCAGACTGGAGCAGGACAGAAGAAAGCAGGAGGAGGGAGATATACAGGGAGAAAATGAACTGGTAGGTTACCCAATACATTTGACTATGTGGAAAATAGTGTAGGTGGATTTAGCTCACCAATTAAAAGAGACTTTCATGGAGAATTTTAAATTCAAATAAAACAAGAATCAGGCCGGGTGCAGTGGCTCACGCCTGTAATCCTAGCACTCTGGGAGGCTGAGGCAGGAGGATCGCTTGAGCCCAGGAGTTTGAGGTTGCTGTGAGCTAGGCTGATGCCACGGCACTCTAGCACAGGCAACACAGTGAGACTCTGTAAAAAAAAATAAAACAAGAATCAATTAAGGAAATTAAAAATAAAAGGTCGACAAAAGGTATACTAACCCATAGAATGGAAGAAAATATTTGCAAATTATATATTAGATAAGGAACTTTTATCCAGAACATACAAAGTACTCTTACAGCTCATAAGGAAAAAAAGCCCCAATTTTGGAAACAAAGGATCTGAATAGACATTTCTCTAAAGAAGACATACAAATGGCCAATAAGCACATGAAAAGATGTTCAACATCAGAAAATCTATGACAGTAATAAATAAAAAGGAAAAAAATAATGATTATCTTAATATAGAAAAACTGAGAGAAGTTTTACACCTATTCATGGAAAATATAAGCATCAGGCTAGCAATAGAATGCCTTTTAAACCTGGGCATGGTTTATATATCAAAAAACTACAATAAACATTATACTTAGTGGAGAAACGTTAGATTAAATGCACTCCCTTAAAGACCAAAACTCAATGAGGAGGCCTATCATAGTAGTATGGATCCTGGTTAATACTATAAGGAAAGAAAAACAACATCCTTAATGTATAAGGATTGGAAGAGAAGGGAAAAAACAAAACCTTTCCTTTGCAAATGATATCTACCTAAAAAATCCATCAACAAACTATTAAGAGATTCAGCAAAGTTGCCAGTATAAAATTAGCCTCTGAAAATCTAAAGCACAACATTTCATAATAGCTACAAAATGGAAAAGTATCAAGGAATTATCCAAGCATATACAAAGTCTATTTGGAGAAAACTTTAAAATTCTAATAAAGACAGAAAAGAAACATTCCACGCTTCCAGTGAGATGACAGTATTATAAAAGTGAACATTCTAAATTTAATCTGAAAAATCAATGTAATCCTAATCAAAATTCCACTTGGATTTTTTGAGGAATTCAAACTTTAAAATTTTTATGGAAGAAAAAGGTCTACAAATAACCAAATAAACTTAGAAAAGAGGGAAATTTTTCCTACGAGATACCTAATAGTAGTAAATAAAATAGTAGGAAAAACTGTGCCCCCTTTTGAAGTCATGCTCCATTACATCGCCCTGATTATTCCCTTCCTAACAAGGATCACAATCTATACTTTTGTTTACTTATTTAATATCTGTCTCACTTGCT